CCCTCAGTACAAGTTCATCCACTGAGGTCTAGTCAGCTTGTCTAGAGTCCCTCCCTTAAAGAAGATCAACTCTCCCTCACCCCGCAATAATCAGCTGCTAATAGTTCTTTTGCTAAGACTGGGGTCTGCTGCCCGTTTCCACAGTTCTGTGCTGGGTATCTGCTTGAGTTTGCCTGGGTCTTGTGCATGCTGACACTGTTGCTGTAGGTCCATATGAACAATTTCCCAGGAGCCTGTAAGAGTCTGTTTCCATATGGTCATGCACCTCCTCCCCGGCTCTCACAGTCTTTCTGCGGTCCTTTTCCGCCACAGTGCTCCCTGAGCCCCGGTGGGTGAGGTTTAATACAGGAGTCCTGGCCAAGGACTCACACTCTGCAGGCTCTTATTCTCTGTGCTTTGTCCATTTGTGGCCTTCTGTGTTCATTGCCGCCTGTTACATGAGGGAGCTTCACTGATGAGAGTTGGAGATGCGTTGTTCCACTGTGCTCCATGAACCTTAGGTGCAGAGGTTGCATTGTACGTGTGTCACTTAGGATTAGGCATTTCACAAACACTTACTCTCTGTGTGTGACCAGATGTGGAACTCTGTAATAGTTTCCTCTCCATCTGGTGCAAAAGAAGCTTCTGTGATGAGTGGTGACTGGGATACTTGTCTGTAAATATAAGGACCCATATTTAGCATAATAGACGTAAGAAATTACGTTTGTTTAGGTATGTGACAGCCTTAGGGTTTTCTCTAAGATCTGTGACATCTCCAGCCATGTGTATTTGGCTATGTTTACCAGATGTGACTTTCCTCCCATTGAGGGGGCTTTAAGTCCAATTAAGTAACCATTGATTACCCAGAAGATAAAAGTGCCACCACTGCCCTAATGTCCTTTGCTGTGCTGGTCATTGTTGTGGTGATTGGGCCTTAAAGCTGGCTGTGGACCATCAACTGATGTTCTCCCTTAGCAGCTTGCACAGCGTCCTCCAAAGCTATGAGAGCTAGCCTTCAGAGAGGAGGTTTCCATGTCAGTTCCAGCTCCATTGCTCCAAGTCCTGTGTCCAAGGTATGTCCCGTCTTCAGCAATAGGGTCTTGCCATCAAGTTCTGGGAGGACATTAAAGGCCGTGGCAATAGCTTGTATTGTTTGGGAGGTCTCACGGACTACCCTGGTCAACACCTCAAAGAGAGGTTTCTCCTGTCTGGTGCTGTTTCTTGTTATATAGTTGTCAGCTTTACACATGGTTTCATGTAGAGATATTGTATGTGTAATTTTTAGTAGGTTTTTGAACTAATGCAGTTCCTTCTGATTTTCCACACAAGCTAAATATTACTTATCTCTCCTCTCTCTTTCTCCCTGTCTAACCCTCCCTCTTCCCTCCCCAGTTAGAGGACCCCATTTCCCCATTTCACCCTTGATAATACCTGACCCCTGTCATCCCCACTCTCTTGAGCTCCTTCTTCCTCTTTACCCCCACAGTCCTGTATAACACTTCCTCTTCCTCTCCTAGTTAAACTCCCATTTTACCATTTCCCCCTTGGTAACACCTGTGTCTTGCTAGTCCTCTCTCAGGTTCCTTCTTTCCCTTTACCGCCCTGGTTCCTTTCCTTTTTCCTGGTTCCTGCAGTTACAACAGGATATGTACTCACATATAAGGATTTGGTGCTAGGAGCCGCAGATGAGGGAGAACATACGTCGTTTGTTTTTCTAAGTCTGTGATATTTCACTTAGTATAACAGTTTATAGTTCCATCCATTTACCTACGAATTTCACGTTTTCATCTTTCTTTACTGCTGAGTAGCACTCCATTGTGTAAATGTACCACATTTTCATTATCCATTCATCAGTTGAGGAACACTTAGGTTGTTTCCATTTCTTAGCTATTGTGTGAAGATCAGCAACAAACATGGATGTACAGGTATCTCCACAGTAGGATAAATCCTTTCATTTTATAAAGGTCTCCACACTGTCTCCATAGTGGCTGAACTAGTTTGCAATCCCACCAGCAGTGAATGAGCGTTCCCTTCCTCCACATCCTCTCCAGCATTTGGTATCACTTGTTCTCTTGATCTTAACCAGTCTGGTCTCCATAGTGACTGAACTAGTTTGCAATCCCACCAGCAGTGAATGAGCGTTCCCTTCCTCTACATCCTCTCCAGCATTTGGTATTGCTTGTTCTCTTGATCTTAACCAGTCTGGTTGGGATAAGATGAAATCTTAAAGTGTTTTTGATTTGCATTTCTCTGATTACTAAGGCTATCAAGCACTTTTAAGGTGTTTCTTAGCCACTTTTATTTCTTCATTTGAGAAGTCTGTGTTTAGGTATATTGTCTAACTTTTTATTGGATCATTTATTTTCTTGTTTCTTTGCTTTTTGGGTTCTTTGTA